GAATGCCATCAGGCCCAACAGCTTTGTGTATGTTGATTTCAAAGATGGCGCTGTTGTCTGTGGCTTGTCGTTGGTTCCTCCTGTGTGCATTACCGTTGCCCCTGTTTTTGATGTTTCTGTTGACTGTCATTTGGAATGTATTGGCTCTATTAGTGTATGATTGCACAGCCCTTCTCAATATTCGCTCCTCTATGGAAAAATGCCCCAGTGTACATGGTTGGGAAGTTTCTAAGTCTCTCCCACTGCCACTGGTGGATACCGGCATACCTCCGCTGTCCTTACTTCATTTGCCCATGAAGAAAGTGGCCTAAGAGATGAGGCAAAGGGGTGGCTATCAGGCTCAAGGCCCTTTGGCGTTCGGCTTCTACTGGCTTTACCTATGCTTACCTTCAGCCCATTGGTCCAGACTTCTTGGTGTTTCTTCCAAGTTGCTGGTTTCCATGACGCCCAAGAAGAGGTGTGTGACCGTACCAATATACAGGCCTAGGCAACTCAGACCATAGTAACGTTTAGTAGTTCCCCAAGAATAACACCCCTCCTGTTTTCAGAGGTCAAATTCATGCAAACTTCACCGGTACTGAGCTGCTACCCCCCCCCCAGATAAATCTGCAAACATGGAGGCGTTGGAGTTACTCACAAATAAAACTTTATTTGAGTCAATTTATAATAATTTAACAGTGAAAATATTTTAAGAAGCCTAAACCCAGAAGCTAAAATGCTACCTATAAGAAGAGGTTTCCCCCCACTCAATAAATACAGTACAGAATAGGAATAAAATGGTCAGAGTCAACAGGTTAAAAGGCACCATTAAATAAACACTACAACATCAACCAACCAAATATAAGAGGGCCTTGCCTCCCTGTGCATAAAACAATTCACACACTGTTCACACCATAAAATTGACTAAACCCTATTTGGAAACAATACAATAAATAGGGAACATAATGCTAGGTAAACCTCAACATAAAAGCCAACAAGGCAAAACATTACATAAGCAAAACAGCAGTGGCTATCACCCCTGCAACAAGTAAAGCCACTGTTAATAAATAGCATAGAAACATCAAAGCAATTAAAACCAACAACACTACAGGTTACCTTGGCTGCACATCACCCTAGCACAACATGTGCAATGGACGCCAACTTCTACTGGATCACGCTCGCATCAATTATTGCCCCTAGAGAGCATGCGGTAATCCCCTGAAAGACAGTCTACAACCAAAACAACCTGATTAAGCACTTTGCACTGCAACAGATCCGATCTACAATCAGTCCGTTGGACATACCTTGCAGAAAAAGCAGGACGCAGATCAATGGAGGGAGGTCCATTTCAAAATAGTTACAGCAGCGACCGGCACAGCAATTGCTTGTCCCAACAGCATCTTCCCAGGTGTTATTTATATCAATGATAATTCCAACAAATTACTTACCAGGTGGTGTAGGCGTAGCCAACCCGCCGGTTACAGGTGTAAACTGGTCCAACCTCTGATCACTGAGATGTTCTTCCCAGCTGCCGAACTCCGCTTCATTGATTCGGATGGGTTTGATTAACAGCAGGTTTCTGGCTAACAAGACTTTTATTCTAAATGAATTTTTCATATCGCAGTAACTGGATTTTACGTTGCTGGCCGAGACCTGCCTAAAGGAAGGTGAGCATTATGCATTTTCTGAACTTCTCCCACCAGATTGCTCCTTCTTTAGCTCCCCGTACACATCAGGCAGGGGTGGTGGCCTGGCATCAGTTTTTAAAAACAGTTTTAAATGTCGGAAGCTCACAGTGGACTCCTATTCCACTTTTGAGTTAGCTGTTTGTGGTGGAGCTCTTGGTTTATCGTCCTCTTAGGTTCAACAGGGGCTTTATTCAGGAGTTGTCTGACTTCTTTTTATCCTGCTAAAGTTTGATAAGCTTTTAATACTTGGTGATTTTAACATTCATGTCTGTTGTCCTGATGACCCATTGGCCAAAGACTTTTTAAATATTATTGACTCTTTTAATCTCACTCAGTCGGTGCATGGCCCTACACATGAGCTTGAACACACATTGGACTTTGTGATCTCTCATGGACTGCCTGTTTCCATTACCAAAATATGTGACTCTCAGTGTTTCACTTGCCTGTTTTATTCAATGTTGC